AGCGCTTTACACCGGTTCACGTGTTACTATCTTAATTGCGTACATGTTAATGTGCTCCTTCTGTCGATCAATCCGTCATCATAAAACACAATATGCCAATAATGTATATGCGTGTGTATTGAATCTAAAATATAATATATACATCATAACGTAAGCGTCCTTGGCCGTGTTAGAATGGATCTTCAGTTACCCATACTTGTCATGAGAGGCGACTAATGGCAGGCCTACCAAGGAAAGCCAGCAGTTCAATGGAACCAACCACAGTAAATCATGCGCACGCAATCGGTTAGTTGCGGTCTACATTTTATCATTACCAAGCAAACTCTATGGGTACTGTGTCTTGTGTGTAATTTGTGTGGCTATTTCTTTGCAGTGTGCGTACCTATTCCGTACTTTGCTCTCTGCTGGTTTTCTTTGGTAGACCAAAAGCCTTCTTGGTTGAAACATGTCATCGTATCCCAACTGCGTAGATCGATGCTCATGCCCTCAAACACGGGATTATCTGGTCCAGATTCGATTATTTACTGACCGCGGGCATAGAGATGGAATATTGCTGAGTGAGGCGCTAAACAACAAACATCAACGTTAGCGGCTCTGCGTGTACAAGATAAGTATTGATTCTCTGTCCAACAGTCACACAGTAAACCACTCGAATCATTATGGCCGGCTGTATTTGGCAAATTTGGAATGCATACTTCTTGTCACACCGCCAACAACGTGCGTCATAATTAATAAAGACTTCGTCAGAAGAAACTCGATCATTTGGGCATGCTTTAAATAGATCATAAAGAGCATAACCATTTGGGGCCAGCTATTTGATATACGCGGGGCACAATGACCCAAGCAGTCAGGGAAAGCATTATGTTACAGTTCTTAGCCAGGAGCTGATGGTGATTCCACTTTTCTTTAATTATCATCGAACAAATTACTTTTGATAATTACAGAAAACTACGGCTATAACGAACTCAAAGGGACCACTTATTTTAATTCGTTATAACCGTAGTTCGTTATAAGCATACATGTATATACAGCATACATACAACAAATGGACGGGAACCAAAAACAGTCCGTTATATCCGTCAGTTCGTTATAAGGATGTTCGTTATAAACGTAGTTTACTGCAGGTAGTTATTTACCCTTCAACCCCCGACTTGGGTAACCCTGAAGCTGCGGTTGCAGGATCCCTTGCGTTTATTATCAGCTGTTCTGTACCTCCTCAGTGTTGAACAACTTGTAATAAACGATGAAGAGATGCGTTTGCCATAGTTCATACCTAAGTTACCACATAATTTGTCACAAAAAGGGAATAAATAAATCTCCCTACCTCAGTTCTGGGAACATCACGCCTAGGATCAATGTTGTTTTCTAGGTACACATTAATGCATGCAACATGCCGCTGGGTTGGTATCGAGTTATCAGTAAACCAAGGCAATAGCAACTGCTTGAAGCTGGGAACATGTGTTCAGTATCGACCTTGGAGGAGGTTGCTCAATACAACGTTGTAAAATTGAGCTTAAAAATGGAATGACACGTGGTACTGCACAGTGTACACATGCCACAAATCAGGGGAAGTTAAGCAACGTTGGTTGCGGAGAGGTGCTGGCTTGGTGATTGTGTATGGTAGCTTGACTCCTGAGTGTGTCAAAGGATTCGTTCCTGGCCCATAGTGAAACAAGAGGATTTGTTCTAAATATGCCTCTGTTCACCCAGCAGAGAATGGGTACCCGGTGGGATGAGATGGAAATGTGACTCATTCGGGAGCTTGGGCTGTATACTTTAAAATCTGAATGCAAACTGGTTCAAAGACTTAATAATATAGTAGCGCCATGAGCATTCAATTGGAGAAATGGAATTATTGCCTTTTGCTATTTAGAAATTTTGGAAATGTGACTTTTTTTATTTCCATTAACAAATGTTGAGTTCCAATCACTGAAAGTTTCCTTTCAATGAGCAAAACTCATGTATTACATGCATTTCCTCCTTATCAATCTAATGGTCGACTGGTGGCGTTATCATATTTTATATTTTTCTAATTCCGTCGAAACAAATCACTACTCCGAGTGATATTGTAATAGCAACACCATCCCACTATCTCATTGACACTTTAGAACAAATGGTGGCTTTAGTGGTCAGTGGCTGGTTTGTGATAGACATAAGTTATTTGTATTTCATACTTGTTGACGATTGTAAGAATACAGAGTTAACCTTAAAGTCACATCGTTATTGATTCAGCCCAGAGAACAAGTTCTGGAATCACACACTAAGGCGTCTAAGGCGCCACATCTCGCTGTGCTCGAATCCCGATCCGCTTCGATTATATTTCTAGGTTTGTCAGCACCATACCCGTGTTCGTCTCACCAATGTGGTAAAGGTCTTAGACCTGCATCACTTTGGATTTCCTCCCGCATTTAGCTGATCATGACGCGTCGTGATGTAATTGGAATAAAAGTTCAAAGCATTGTTAATTCTCAAACTCACTTTTCTCCGCGACCAACGAAAACGAACCATCAACTCCCCTCTCACGACCAGCATAAGATGCTTGGGACCTATCGCCTTTAAATAAAATCGCCGAATCAATTCAATGTCAAGTGAAAACGTTAATGACAACAACATTGGTCATTTTCTAAAATACCATTTAATAATAGACATGTGATAATCATAGTTATGCACCAACCTGCCGTACTAGATCCCGTGTGAGTTTGAGGCTTGTCCCAAAGTTCAGGTTCATAATCCGCAGGTAGTGCAATGTCTTTGAAACAGAACGAGCGGCCAGACCAAACACATAATCACACGATGATTGGTTAAAACATTGCACAAACTTTGTCTTGTGAAGCTGAGAGAAGTTGAACTTGGCGAACTCTTCAAAATGATGGTCAATACCACTGCGGAGTATCCCAAACAGAAATGCATCATCCACCCAGAAGAAAGGCACCATCTGAGCAGCCTTGTGCAGTATAGGCATCATGGCCCCTGACAACACCACAGCAAAACCACTGCAGAACGACCATGGGTACGACCTGTAATGGCGAAATACATTCTGGTCTATTGTCCAATGTCCTCGCCGATCTATGGGCACGCTGTTTGCGGGCATCTTGTTACACAATACCAATCGCGTGTAGCTGGAGTAGTCGTGGTATATACGATGAAAGACGTTGTATAAATCTACATATACGTCATCGTCAAGTTTGATGACGTATTTCACATTGGCACAATGCAGACTCACCCATTTCATACCCATTGGTCTTTTGTAAGTCAAGATTCTGTAGCTATCTTGGAAGTTCCCCTGTAATATGTCGTCATATTTGTCAAATTCTTGTCGAATCACCGTCATTTCCATCACATGAGCATATTTGGTTCTTCCCAGCAGGAAGAGAACACGTATCGAGTAGTTTGTGTACAGAGAACTGTTTCCGAGTGCCAGTATTGTTCTCATGGTATCGCGTCGTTTCCAGTTAGTCAAGGCAGAGTGGACCATGAACAAAACAGACAGCTGGTTGTCAGACGGACACAATGTCCTGTTTTCTAGGAGGATCTGTGTGTTCAGATCTGTGACGTAGCGAGTCTTAGTATGTCCACGTCTTTGTGGCACGTTGCCGAACGTTCCTTCCAAATCTTGGTGCATGTTCAATTGTAGTTCTGAAAACCTGGACTTCAAGAAAGACCAGCCAACAAACGTGTGGTATGGGAAAAATACAATTGCCACAATTTCAATACACAGCAGCAGCTAAAAACATTTCAGTGTCCTTGTAAGAAAATGTGCATCCATCACGGCGGCTGTTAGGTTATGTTTTACCGGAGTGATAATAAATGTGCAGGTTTTATTTTGTACACTTTATCTAAATTTGAGAGGTTAGGATGTGTCATACTTTTAACCGATTATTGAGCATGTTGAGCAAATATTTCTGAAGATCAATATGCAAATAAAATTAAGCCTCAAGGTTCTGGAATATTTGCAATATGCTCGTATAAATTAATTAAAGTGATAAAAGAGATTCAAACGACGGTTCGAAATAGTCATCAATCTGCCAACACGTGGACCAGGGTCATATCGACCAGCATTTGGCGGGATCCAGATCGGAACTGGATACACTAGTTTCACTGCTTCAAGTAACTATCGTATTACAAAACGCATTCTAGCGGCGTTCAGAACCTTTTTCATTCTCATACGACGTTGTAGTTCAGGTGAAGCAAGAACACAAATGCCAAATAAAGAGACGCAAAACAGATGTTACACCTTTAAACCAATCCTATCAAAACCCTTCAATACTGAATTCTGTTTCTACCTGTCCCCAACTCTAAACACATAATGACGTCAATTTGCGTTGCTAATTATTCACACAATGACATTGTATTTTGAATATGATATTAACTCTTTTAAAGATAAAACTAATAATAAATAAATAAATAGCAATCATCATCATCATCATCATCATCTTAATAATAATAATAATAATAATAATAATAATAATAATAATCCATAGAAAATATTACATACAAAATTCTTTGGAATAGACCCGTATACAGCTTCAAAACTACCGAGGCCAAAAATCAATTTCTGCCCCTTTTGACACCAATGTGATTGTCCAGGTTCCGGAAAAACATGGCAAATATGCTGACCTCGCTTTCGAAATGTCATACTTGCATCCTAAGTACCAAGTTGTTCGACTCCCTACTTTTCTCGGTGCCTTAGGTTTGATACCTCCCAATCTGTTGACTGACATTGTGAGAGTACCAGGGGATTGCTGCCAGCAATACAGCCCTTCTGACGATCTGGGTAATGCACAAGGCTGCCGTGTTGGGGAGGCTTCACATTCTCGGTGGGTTCGACCAGGCAACGCTTCCTGGGAGAAGTCTCATTTGCTTTCTGTGTGTGTGTGTGTGTGTGTGCGTGCGTGCGTGCGTGCGTGCGTGCGTGCGTGCGTGTGTGTCGGGGATCGAAGCACGGACCTTCCGCTCTCAAGACAACGGTGGTGGGCGCTAAATGAAGGAGAAACAAGAGATTGTGAGGATATGTGTTTAATGCTTTAGTATTTGAAGTTGTACCTGTTAATAAGACAAGGCTCAATTCCATCAGGAATTCTGACACCTGTTTACCAAACGACGCTGTATTTCTGAAATTTGACACTATGTTGAGTAATTATATAGGGTTTGATGTTAAAGCTGCTATGAATATATCAGTTATATCACTATATGTCGGCTTAATGTTGGAAGAAAACCTTTAAACGTTACGTAGGATGGCGACTTTTAACCAAACCGTGTATTTAGCTGACAGAGCATGTATGATAATTTAAAATTTATCAAAGAGGTCCTTACAGTTTTCAACTTTGGACTTTTAAATTGCAGTAATTCATTGTATAAAGATATTCAGTGATATACACTTATCAATTGATTCGCTACTTGTTTCCTTACAATTCTTTCTATAGTTTCTTCCATATATACAAGTATATAGGCAATATCTAACAAATGATGAGAGTAAATGATTAAACTATGGCATCGCATCCCCTTTAATTTCTGGGTTTTAAAGCCCCGTTTTCCTTCAACACAACTCGAGCGATAACGGCTCTGAAACGCTTGGATATATTTTGACAGCGAGAGCTTCTTTTCGTTGGTTTGTATTTTGATATCTTACGGGAGCTTCTATCACTAACGCGGCCGTAACATCACAAACGTTTAATAACAATGATCATACGTAATATCACTTAAACAATTCTCAAAGCGTCCACTCAGTATTATCTTATCTGTAACGATAATAACGCTAAAACAAATTTATGTCAAACTCACGAGGAAGGATGCACAAGTTGCTGTTGTAGACAGAACCTGGTAATAAAGTCCGTCTGGTGTTAAGTATATGTGTCCAACACAAGTTAACACCACTCCTGCCGATAGTAAGTCTATGTTATGAACTGCTGGACGTTTCTGCGAGAAGGTCAATGAAGACGTGCGAGCACCAACTTAACAAATGTATCTGTATACATAAAACTACAAACAGAATCCAATCATGATTAACAGTTCAACAGGTTAAGGAATTCACTGACAACATACGATATATCAAACAGGAAATAATATCACTGTTCTAGGTCAGCTGACTCATGTCACGTGATCACATCAGGTGTAATGCTGTGAGATTGGGCTTCTTGGGATCAGCTGATCATTGAGTTAACTTTGTGAATTGCCTTTGAAATCAGCAACGAGCAAGACCAGGACTTGGACTGATTCAGGAATTGTTTTATGTTATTTGATTATGTACGGATTTTACAAATGTGAATACTTTCACATATGGGTCACACGTAACATACAGAAACCCGTCCCCATCAAGACAGATACCACGAGGATATTCCAGATCATCCTGTTGTGTGAGGACATCTCTGACAAACTGCCCCGACTCTGTCAGCTGAATCACCTTGTGGGAGTATCCGTCTACAAGCAGGACATCTCCTGTGCTGGTTGTGGTGATACCCCAAGGCCCTGTCAAAGCTCTGTCTCCTGTGGGAGTGTAGGTGAAAACAGCTTCTCCTTCACTGGTCACAGATACAAGGTAGCTGACTCCTCGTTCACTGACTATCAAGTCGTTATGACTGGTGACATGGATATTGTCTGGATTCCTTATGACGCCCGTGTTGACAGACTTCAGTATCTTCCCTGTCATGTCCAGTATGTCCACAGAGTGAGACTGTCCATATGTACCTGCCACCAGCTGTGAAGGACTCAGACAGGCCAGGGCAAAGTACATCTTGCTTGTTTTGATAGTTGACAGCAATACAGGCTCTGGGGTGACATTCACTGTAACTATTTGCTTACTCCGTGGAAGACTGAGAGCTACCTGACTCTCACTTAACTTTGCTATATGCGACGGCCAATCAGAAAGCAGTAGCTGATTAACATGCGTGTTTGGTTTTGATGTGTAATATGTTTTGAGGCTCTTGTTAGTGTTATCTGCAACTACTGTCACATTTATACCGTCAACAGTTAACACTGTGACGTCACACAAACACGGATGCGTCTCATCCCCGTCCGCCTTAAAGTCAATAGTGTGATGTAGAACAGGGGTAGACTGGCGGTCACTCACACCACGGACAACAGCAACCTCCCCCAGCTGTAGCTCTTCCACTGCTTTACTCAGCTTGTCCATGTCGTGTGTGAATACAACTCTTCCTGACGCTGATCTGTTGTCCATGTCGTGTGTGAATACAACCCTTCCTGGCACTGGTCTGTTGTCCGTGTCTCTGATGTCTGTAGACGTCTCACGCACCGACTCATAGACGGCATACATGTCCATCTCACAGTTGGACGTCACAGCATTGGCTGTGAACTCATACTGCTGTTGGTACATCTGCAGCTCAATCTCCTGGGATTTTATTTCTGCTTGAATTGTATGTAATTGTTCGCCAGAAGATCGGTCGACTTTATCAAGGAGTTGTTTCTCCTTCCTTAAAATCATGTCTACCACTGCCTGTCGTGTTTTTCTGATACCATCTTTGATATTTTGCGCATTGGAATTTATTTCTTTGATTTGAGATTTCCTGAAGATAATGTTATTTTCTGAAGTTGTCATATTGATTTTCAGTTTTTGGTTTTGATTTGACAGGTGTTCTCTGACAAAAGGGGTCATACTATCTAAAGTATCGACATCGTCACATTTCCTGTGTTTTATACTGCAGCATGTATGACAAATGGCCATCCTACAATCTTTACAGAACAACTCTATCTGTTTGTCTTTGTGGATATTACACATGAAGCGCTGCTTAGATTTTCTCTTGGTAGCACCAGACACATCCACAACTTCATGGTCACGTGACGTTGGTATCATGTTGTGCATCTTCAGACATCCATCACAGAAGAAATCATCACAGACGGAACACCACGACGTGGCAGGAGTTGTCTTCCCTTGTTGTTTGCAAACAATGCAGATATTCACATTGGCAGCTGTAATGACAAATATCAACCTGTGTTTCTGGATAAAGGTACACATACATCATTAAACTGAAATATGTTGACAAAGTTTTCACAATATTTATATTATAAGTATATGATAGGATCTGTTGACAGAAGCTCCATGGTTGAAATTTATGACAAATGTATCTGAAAACAAAATCAATCAAAATGTCCAAAATATATCTGGGATAATGTTTTGAGCAATAAGATGATAAAAAAAACAATACTGCTGTTTTCAACAAAAAAATCACATCTGATTACACATTCATGGAGTTTATCAATTCATTATTTCTACATATATTACTACCAAATACAATTCAGTTTCACAATTAGATTAAACCTAATACATCCTTCTATAAATGATTGGTTGTACTAAGTGAACTTAAACTATCAAATAGTTACCTTCTGCCCTGGGTCCAAAGTCGTCCATCAGCCCTTGGATAACGTGGCTTGGTTTTAGCTGACCGACCCACTCCTCAACTGGACTGACAGGGTTGGTCACCTTCGTCAGCTGTCTACAGGAGGGACATGGGATGCATTTGGCTTGTATTGCGTGTGGCTGGGTGTTGGTGTATTTTAGCAGACAGGTCTTACAGAATGTGTGATTACATTCAAGTGTGACAGGGTCTGTGAACACCTCTGTACAGATGACACAGGTGAGGTGGTTGTCTGTTAGTTTCTTAGCGGTCGCCATCTGAAGTAAAACATATTGCTGAAAAAATATTGATGCACATGTAGCTACAAAGAATATCGTCTGAAACAAACAACACTGACTTGCCTTAATAAAACTTGTCAATGAATGTATCAACTCTGACATCCAATGACGTAACATCCTTATACGACATGCGCAGTTAGAGTTAATATTATCTTCAACAGAAAACACCTCGCCACACTTCAAACTGGGCTACTGCTTCAGTGCAGCTGTGGGTAAAGGGGGATAACTCTTGTAACTTTAGTTCCATACATTCATCTGACACAGTGAGTGAGTGAGTGAGTATGGTTTTACGCCGCTTTTAGCAATATTCCAGCAATATCACGGCGGGGGACACCAGAAATGGGCTTCACACATTGTGCCCATGTCGGGAATCGAACCCGGATCTTCGGCGTGACGAGCGAACGCTTTAACCACTAGGCTACCCGACCGCCCCTCATCTGACACACAATGTACATGCACACATCATTGAGTGGAGAGACTGGAAATTAATTATAAATGAAAAACACGTATGTGGTGAAGTGATGCCAGGAAAGGTACATAAATATTGCTTTTAAGCAATGAGCTGAACCATAAAGTGTGAACATGAAAAATACATGTGAATGAGTTTAAACCGAACTAGAAGAACAAAGTCGTTTCCATCATGGTTTTATTTCAATTTGCATAAGGTTCTTGTGTAGAAACATTTAAGCCCCTGTGTCAAGTTCTTATACTAATATGAGTAACATATGTCACTAGTGATGTGTACGGGATTTTAGAAGCTGAAACGGATTGTACACCACGAGACCAAAGGACGTAGTTTCATTTTCAAAATAGTCGGCACCTTGTGAAGTTTTGCATATACGTCAATGTTGCTCACTGACTGACTGACTGACTGACTGACTGAGTGACTCACTGACTGACTGAGTGACTCACTGACTCACTCACTCACTCACCCACCCTTCCACCCACTCACTCACTGCCTCACTCACTCACTCGCTCATTGGGATGTCACCGATCTCTGTTCAGGAAACAGTACTCAGGCTAATGTGATAAATATATAAAATAACACGTGTCTGTTTGCAGGATTTAGTTCACCTTGTTATTGTCTACATTGTAACAAAACATTCAGCAGTCTCAGGGCTGTATGAAAACATTTATGCTATGTCCACTTTTCACTGAAATCCGTTAATCGTGTTACTTCCGTATAATTTTATATGTAAACTAGTGTCCAAAAGAGACGATACCAACTTATTTTCAAAATTGTTTTTTACTAAGTGAATTGTCAAGTATGAAAACATGCCAATTCGTATTGCACATCCCAAACACAGCATAGTCGATAAAAAATACCGGGAAAAAACGTAAATTTCGTGAAAGTGACATTTCCCTCTCTAGCATGTTTTGCACGTGCAGAAAAAACTGTATAAAACGGCTGATCAGACACGTTGATATCACAGCAACAAAAAGAACACAAGATATGCCACGTTTGACAGCCATCGAGAGAGAGAGAGCCTTTGGAATGGTCCAACAAGGAGCGTCACACGTCGACGTCGCCGGAAGGTTGGGCTGCGCACGCATCACTATCACCAGGTTGATGCAGCGGTTACGTCAGACAGGTCAGACGTCAGACAGGCCCAGGAGTGGAAGACCACGAGTAACCACGCCCCGTGAAGATCGTTACATCCGGGTATTACACCTGAGGAACCACACCGTAACAGCGACGTCCACGGCGGCTACAGCACTAGGACACAGGATCAGTCGACAGACCGTCTACAGGAGACTACGGCAGTATGGTATCCGGCCACGTCATCCCTACCGCGGACCGCTCCTGACGCCTCGACACAGGAACAACAGACTGATCTGGGCCAGGCGAGTTCGACGTTGGCAAGAGCAGATTCCTCATCTTCAGAAACGATGGACGGCAGCTTGTATACCGACGATTTGGTGAACGTTTGGCGCCAAACTGTATCCAACAGGTCCGGCCGTTTGGAGGTGGAGGGTTAATGGTTTGGGGTGGCATATGTGGTGACGTCAAAACGATGCTTGTCGTAATTCGTGGAAACCTGAATGCACAGCGTTATCTTGATGACGTCCTACGGCCTGTTGTGGTGCCCTTTATTCAGCAACAGCCTCGTGGACTCCTTTTCCAACATGACAATGCAAGGCCACACACAGCAAGATTGACACAGAACTTCCTTGCCAACGCCGACGTACAGATTTTGCCATGGCCCGCATGTTCACCGGACATGAATCCCATCGTGCACTTATGGGACCACCTCGATCGGCAAATCCGACGTCGCCATGGGCCTCCAGTCAACGTCCAGGACTTGGAACGATGTCTCCTCGAGGAATGGCAACGCATCACTCCCAACGTCATCAGACGTTTGACGTCATCAGTCCGTAGGCGTGTTCTGGCATGTATTGATGCTCACGGTGGACATACCCGCTACTGACTTGACTTTGAGACGTGTGGTGTGACATTTCCCGTTGTTTCTGTGATCATTGCTCTAACGAAATGTTCATTTTTCGACCCCACCCATCTTTAAAGGCTTGTCATATTGGTTGTACAGATTTTATTGAAATGGAAATTTTGTACAGATGTTGTGAAAGGATTTCTCAAAAGCATAACACCAATCGTAAACTTCTGCATTGTTTAGTTTTTCTTTTATGTCGTTGCAAACAGGTGGTATCGTTTCTTTTGGACACTAGTTTATATGAAATATTATCACATACAGTTTCATGATGGTAATATTGCATATCCATCCCACCATCATCGCTAACTGTTAAATGGCGGCAGTAGCTAAAAAAGCATTGAATGTTACGCGCAAAACGTGTGCGTACATGCATGCACATTAAAACATAATCACACACACACACACACACGCACGCACGCACGCACGCAGCCACACACGCACACACGCACATACGCAGACAGGCAAGCACAAACGCACTAACATCCCAATCTTCTCCCCTCCCCACGGCCAAGGCCATGCAGCTGCATCCCATTCAAGTGGATATCGCGGGTTGTTTAAAGGGACATAACCCTTGTGATTACTTGTATATCGTCACGTAGCCTTGATCGACTGACCCATCTACTTTCTGTATCAAAGTGTAATCTCTGTCCTTGCATGTTCACATATAACATAGGTAAAACACGACAAAACCCTTTCCATAGTCCTAAGAAATCTCAGCTAACATCCCAACAAGTTACTGTAAGAAAATGTCTTATCAAATTATATCCATAGAAACACCAGGGGGTGTGTGGGTGGGGTGGGGTGGGGGTGCGTGAGTGCTTGCGTGTGTGTGTGTGTGTGGGGGGGGGGGGGGGGGGGAGGTATAATGTACGTATGGTGTGTGTGTGCGTGTGTATGGTATAATGTACATATGGTGTGTGTGTGTGTGCGTGCGTGTGTTTGTGTGTGCGTGTACTTGTGCGTGTGTGTGTGCGTGGTATGGTGTGGGGTGGGTGTGTGGGTATCTACGTGTTTGTATATGATTGCGTGCGTGACTTTATAAGTAATTTGGCGTGTGTGTGTGCGTGTACGTGTGCGTGTGCGTGCGAGCGTGCGTGTTCATAACCCAACCTTAATTTTAAACATTGTGTTAGTATATGTCGTATTTTACATTATCTAGATCATGACGTTATAATTTGCTTTTATGTCTAAGTGTCTCGTAGGCCATACCTCGGATGTTATATTTTATTGTTCTTGTACGTGTTTTAGCATGAAGTGTATATAACATGGGACACTATAATAAACAGTATTCTCTCTCTCTCTCTCTCTCTCTCTCTCTCTCTCTCTCTCTCTCTCTCTCTCTCTCTTGATCGACTGACCCATCTACTTTCTGTATCAAAGTGTAACCGCCGTCCTTGCATGTACACATAATGACAAAGGTAAAACACGACAAAACTCTTGCCATAGTCCTAAGAAATCTCAGCTAACATCACAACAAATTACTGTTACAAAATGTAATCTGTATGCCTGACTTACCACAATGACTACACCGCTGTGACTCGACTGTCTGCCCTCGTCCCACTTCCTGGCTGCTTTCCTTCTGTGTGTCACGTGACGTGGCTTCGTTTACGTGATTTCTTGAAGCACGTATGTACAGGGATCAAAGTATAAGCAAACACGACCCGAATCTATTCGAAAACATGCAATCAACATGACACATTTTTATGGGACACATTCTCAATCTGTCTATTAGGTATTTATCTGAAATTAAACTAATGTGTATAATTCCCATTGCTATTTGAATCAATATTGGACTGATAGAAGGTACGCGATCTGAAACCGTTAATGGGCAAATTACCCAGCCGTTACCGAGCAATGACATGGCCTTGAAAGCAAATAAATTTGACTTTACTTGACATGCGTTTACAGTCACTGTAGATAAAGTTATTGACAGGATGCCGACAAGATTTTACTAACACGATTATCTGGACTCGTATGTTTAATACTTATTCACCTGATATAATCATTTGTTTATATATATATGGATATGATCATTATAACCGTTCTTGTTGGGGTCCCTGAAGCGGTAAACATCTTCGACCTGCGTCACTTTTTTCCTACATTAACCTGACATGCTCCGAAAGGACTGATAAGTTCTTTAAAAATCTAAACACAGCTATATCTTTATCAGTCGGAATATAATAGATACCCTGTGGAGAACGTAAGGATGATGGTTCGGACTCGAAGTGGTTCACTGTAAGGATTTGTACAATTGTAAGGAGCCACATACACAAATGTGGGTGCACGTCGCAAAATATGTGAAATAATCTCGAACGAGATGATAAACCTCATTTCATATCTGAATCATATCTGTTAGTGTTGGCAATTTTTTCACAGGTCACAACGTCAGGTGACACCGGTTTTTCGCACAAGATAACATACCTAATTACAAAACAAACGTATTCTACTCCCACCACGTGGTTGATTATGACAATCGGAACAGTTCACAGTGTACAATATACTGAACAATGTAAAATATGTATAATATACTTTTATACAAAGTCAGAGGTGTTGGAGGTGTCGATCTCATCCGAGAACAACTGAATAACCTAAGACCTAAATGGTTGATCCCTATTAACGGATCAGTCTGTAATGACTGTTCTATCTTATGAAGGGGGCGCGGGTGGCCCAGTCGTCTAAGGCGCCGCAATTCGCTGTGCAGAGTTGCGTCCCTTTGGCACGCCAGAAACCTATGATTGTGGGTTCGAATCCCGGTTCGCCCCGATTATGTTTCTAGGTTTGTCAGCACCATACCCATGCTCGTGGGTTTCACCGAAATGGTAAACGTCTGAGACCTGCATCACTTCGGGCTTTCCTCCCACATTAAGCTGACACGCCGCGATATGACTGGAATACTGTTAAAAGCGGCGTTAAACCCAACTCACTCACTCACTATCTTATGAAACATTAATCACGTCATGCACTGTGAACTACAATGCGTTCGCGGATTAGGATAACGTGTACAGAAAGAGTTACCTACCTTAGACTAGAGCCGTCGCATGGCTCATTCGGATCAGATAACTATATATAATAAAATAATGCATGTATTGATGCTTTCATCATTACAGTAAATTATATTTTTATGTTTCACAAAGACGGAATTCGTGTATTCTCTGTTGTATTTCTTGGGTTATTTACAGATAACGTTTTTTTCATAGTAATGCCTTTACCCTCAACCTGTTAGCATGTCTTGATATGTGTATGAGTTGTTTTAATATTTCTATGTGCTGTCTTTAACATTCGTATATGTTGTCTTAATATTTTTATGCATCGTCTTGATACGTGTAAGGGTTGTCCTCATATTTCTACGCGTTGTCTCAATATATTTGTATGTGATGTCTTAATACTTGTATGTGTGGTCTTAATATACTCTTAAAAAAAGAAACGCAAAGCCAAATTTGTGAGAGGTAGGAAAATACATTTATACGAACAACCGTACAAGGTATTGAGCCAAAGTGTTGTGGAGAGAACACTTGGTGATTGTTGTCATCTCAGTTATCGGTACATAGGAAAAGTCCAAGTCGAAGGTCAGTTACTATCAATAACGCGTATTTCCCCCGTTGGAATCGATAGCGGCCTGACAACTCCTGTCTATGGAAGAGTCAAGCATACGAATCACTTCCTGGGGAATGGTAGCCCACTCGGCCTGCAACGCAAAAGCCAACTGCTGCAACGTCTTGGGTTGTGGTTGACGTCGGCATTGCCGTCTAATCCAATTCATCATACAGGTGTTCTATCGGGTTCAAATCCGGGGATCTGGAGGCCAGGGAAGAACATCAACGTTGTTCTTGTGTAGACAGGCTCTTGTGATCCGTGCTGTATGCGTTCGAGCGTTGTCCTGCTGGAATACACCATTGCCGTTGGCTGCAATTGGGAGGACGCGTGGTGGGAGAATTTTGTTGATGTATTGTTGTGCCGTAAGATTGCTCTGGATATGGACCAAACCTGTCCTACCATGATGAGAGATATATAGCCGCCCACATCACAACGCAACCCCCACCAAACCTGTCCACTTCCTGCACTCAGTTCCCGGCGTAACGTTCTCCCCGATGTCGGTAGACGCGTGCTCTTCCATCCCCACTATGGGGGCGAAATCTTGATCCGTCGCTGAACCAGATATGTCTCCATCGCAGTTGAGACCATAACCTGTGTTGACACCAATGCAATCGTTGTTGACAATGTTGTCGACTGAAAATGACGCATCGAAAAAGAAGTCTTGCTCGTAGACCTGCTGTTCTCAAACGGTTTCGTACGGTCTGGATGGAGATTCTGCGCAGTTCTGGTATTTGGGATGCGGTTGAGGTGGCTTTGGTCGTCCTTTCACGTAGGTGGCGCAATCGGATGTAGCGACCTTGGGCGAGGGTGGTTACTCTTGGTTGTCCCGATCTTCGCCGATCACGAGTTGACCCATGCTGTTGAAACCAATCCCATAGCCTTGTGATGGTGCTGGGCGCTACATTGAAAACCCTGGCTACAGCTGATCGGGACCCCCCTACCTGCAAGTGGCCCATGACGGGTTTTTTTGCACTTCTGTTAATCTTTCCATGTTGTTGAACTGTCACTGTTCGATTGACACATATGCCGTGCAGTACGTGCAGCTCCATGGCCCTTTTGTTTATCCACTGGTTGCGTTTTTTCCGAATCCTACGTGTTTCCCGACAAATGGTTTGCATGTCCTTGTTGTGATCATTTGATCCGGGACAGTTGTCACTGACACAATAACACATTAAACCTCTTCATTTTGCACCTCTTGGTCCGCTAATTTTGCTATTATTGCCAAAAATATCCGTTTTTCGTTTCTTTTTTTAAGAGTATATTTGTATGTGTTGTTATGATATATACTGAACCGCAAAGAAACGTCAGCATGGATATATATATATGAGAACCTTAATTGTCCAAACACTGTAAACATACTTTGAGAAATATTAAAAAGATGAAACTTGGCAATACTGATCATCAAGGTTGATATTAAAGTGCCAAAGTGAAACACAACACTAGTCTCTGAGAAAATGGCATCACAAGTCAGTATCTCGTTAATGACTGCCGTTCAACGTTGATACATGGAATGGATACGGCGGTTGATGAAGGCCATAGGCACTTGCGCCCACACTCTGAGGAACGCCTGGAGCAGTTCAGCTGCAGTTGTCGGCCTTGGTCGGACATCATTCAGCCATCTTTGAATCTCGTCCCACGGGTGCTCAGTGGGATTTAAATCGGGACTGAGGGCAGGCCAATGCATGGTTCTGATGCCAGTCTGCTGGTGGAAGTCTCTTATTGCTCTCGCAGTTTGGGCACGGGCGTTATCATGCTGAAACTCGTAGTTGCGGCGACGTGCCAAATGAGTTATGGCATGTGGTCTCAAGATTTGATCAATGTGCCGAGCTGCAGTAACACAATTGCCTCTCTCTGGACCAATGTTCTGGAATACCACAGGGCCGACCCTCTGTGCTAGACCAATTCCACCCCACACCATGATGCTCGGACCACCCCAAGACTCTCTCTCAAAAACACAAGCACCCAAATAAGGTTCCCCACTGCGTCGCCAGACTCTCCCTCTGCCATCTGCTGTTTAGATACAGTAACGGCTCTCGTCTGAGAAGGACTCTTCTCCACTGCTGGTGGCGCCAAAGCTGGTGCTGTGTTGTCCACTGAAGACGGTATCGGCGGTGACGTGGTGTCAGAATGGGTCCTCGGTGTGGCCTGTGACAGTGGAGGTGCCTGCTCGCCAATCGCCAACGCACGGTGTCCGCACTAATGTGTCGCTGGTGTGTCCCCGTGGTCTGTCGAGCAGTTTCCGCATGATCAGTAACAACGCGATCTTGAAGTCTGTCTTTGTAGCTCCATGTTATTTAATGACACTTATGCTTTGTAGAAAGGCGCCGAGAGCCTTTATCAACAATAATATAATAAGTCTACTTTCTGTATCAAAGTGTAATCTCCGTCCTTGCATGTACACATAAAACACGACAAAACCCTTGCCATAATCATAAGAAATCTCAGCTAAGATCACAACAAGTTACTGTTAGAAAATGTAATCTAAATGCCTGACTTACCACAATAACTACACCGTTGTGACCCGACTGTCTGCCCTCGTTTCACTTCCTGGTTGTTGGCCTTCTGTGTGTCAGATGACGTGGCTTCGTTCACGTGATTTCTTGAAGCAGGTACGTACAGGGATCAAAGTGTAAGCAAACATTGCACGAATCTATTCGAAAACATACCATTAACACAACACAATTTTTGGAACACATTCTCAGTTTCTCTATTAGGTATTTATCTAAAACACATCTAATGTGTATAATTCCCATTACTTTTTGAATAAACATTTTACTGGTAGTAGGTACGCGATGTGAAACCGTTGTTGGGTCAATTGCCCAGCTGTTACAAGCAATGACTGATTATAGCTTACGAACATATATACCAAGTGTTGTTCGACTCCCTATTTTCTCGGTGCCTTAGGTTTGATACCTCCCAATCTGATTACTGACATTGTGAGAGTACCGGGGTTTTCTGCCAGCAATACAGCCCTTCTGACGATCTGGGTAATGCATAAGGCTGCAGTGTAGGGGAGGCTTCACATTCTACGAAACGTTCTGGGTGGGTTCGACCAGGCAACGCTTCCTGGGAGAAGTCCCATTTGCTTTCTGGGCGGCGTGAAGAGGGGGCAAGGGCTCTGAGACGATGATGAGCCCAACCAGCATGAGTGTGCCGGGATCACCCAAACCCTCTCTTATGCATTTATATTTAATAATCTGTACATAATAATGCAAAATAATTTTAGCGCCACGCACAACCACCACGTTGAAGAACACATTAAAGCTGGAATTGTGTTATTTAGCGTAAAATATGTCTAAACTTTGGTTTCCATATTAAGTCGAATGTAAGATTACCATTACACAAAAAAGCGACAAAAGTCTTTCCACATCCAATAGAAATTTCTACAAAGTCGAGTGTACGATTCCGACTATATCATAAGCATGTGTTTATGAATCACTATCAAATAGTATCAGGGTGTCACATAAGAGGAATGGCGAAGATGGGACTGGTCCCATACCTGTATATGCTGTAACATTGTGGTCCATGATCATTTGTCTCAGATTTGGCAGACTGGAATATTCTGATACTCTGTGTCGATGCCTGCCATAATAGGTTTTTATTTGATAAAAGGCTGTGTTGCAGATAAAAAAAGTGTTCAAATTTGATCCTTCTTTCTCAATATTAGCAGGATATATTTGAATATCAATGCTGACAAGTGTTGTTAAGTTCACGTGGCTGTTGTAAGCATTTTAAACTGTTGATTAATTATCATAATGAGCTTCAGTGGCGTAGCACTATTCTTCATAATTCCCCATTGACATATTACAAAGTACAGTATTAACAGTGTCAGGTGAGGTGAAATGGGGTTTAACATCGCGTACAAGATAATTGCATTTATATAGCGAAATGGTTGCACGTGTGTGTGTGTGTGTGTGTGTGTGTGTGTGTGTGTGTGTGTGTGTGTGTGTGTGTGTGTGTGTGTGTGTGTGTGTGTGTGTGTGTGTGTGTGTGTGTGTGTGTGTGTGTGTGTGTGTGTGTGTGTGTTTCTGCTTCTACTTCTTCGGACTAGAGATATGACGCGACCGGGGATCGAACCACGGACCTTCCGCTCTCAAGACGGTCGCTCTACCACTAGACAACGGTGCCGAGCGCTAAATGAAGGAGAAACAACAGATTGTGAGGACATGTGTTTAATGCTTTAGTGTTTGAAATTGTACCTGTTAATAAGACAAGGCTCAATACCATCAGGAATTCTGACATCTGTTTACTAAACGACGCTGTATTTCTGAAATTTGACACTATGTTAAGTAATTATATAGGGTTGGATGTTAAAGCTGCTATGAATATATTAGTTATATCACCATGTGTCGGCTTCATGTTGGAAGAAAACCTTTAAACGTTACGTAGGATGGCGACCTTACACCAAACCGTGTATTTAGCTGACAGACCAAGTATGATAATTTAAAATTTATCAAAGAGGTTTTACAGTTTTCAACTTTGGACCTTTAAATTGCAGTAATTCATTGTATAATGATCTTCAGTGATATATACTAATCAATGGAATCGCTACTTATTTCCTTACAATTATTTCTATAGTTTCTTCCATATATACATGTATCTGGGCGATATCTAACAAATGATGAGAGTAAGTGATTAAACCATGGCATCGCATCCCCTTTAATTTCTGGGTTTTAAAGCCCCGTTTTCCTTCAAAACAGCTCGAGCGATAACGGCTCTGAAACGCTTGGATATATTTTGACAGCGAGAGCTTCTTTTCGTTGGTTTGTATTTTCATATTTTACAGAGCTTCCATCACTAACACGGCCGTAGCATTATCACAAACTTTAAATAACAATGATCGTACGTAATAAGTTGACACCACTCTTGCCGACAGAAAGTCTATGTTATGAACTGCTGGACGTTTCTGCGAGAATGTCAATGAAGACGTACGAGCACCAACTTAAAAAATGTATCTGTATACATAAAACTACAAACAGAATTCAATCATGATTAACAATTCAACAGGTTAAGGAATTCACTGACACCATACGGTATGTAAAACAAGAAATAATATCACTGTTCTAGGTCAGCTGACTCATGTCACGTGATCTCAGGTGTAATGCTGTGAGATTGGGCTTCTTGGGATCAGCTGATCATTGAGTTAACTTTGTGAATTACCTTTGAAATCAGCAACGAGCAAGACCAGGTTTTGGACTGATTCAGGAATTGTTTTATGTTATTTGATTATGTACAGATTGTACAAATGTGAATACTTTTACATATGTGTCACACGTAACATACAGAAACCCGTCCCCATCAAGACATGTACAGATACCACGAGGACATGACAGACCATCCTGTTGTGTGAGGACATCTCTGACAAACCGCCCCGACTCTGTCAGCTGAATCACCTTGTGGGAGGCCCAGTCTACAAGCAGGATATCTCCACTGCTGGTTGTTGTGATACCCTGAGGCCCTGTCAAGGCTCTGTCTCCTGTGGGAGTGTAGGTGAAAACAGCTTCTCCTTCACTGGTCACAGATACAAGGGACTTGACTCCCCCTTCACTGACTATCAAGTTGTTATTACTGGTGACATGGATAAAGTCTGGATTCCTTATGACCTCTGTGTTGACAGACTTCAGTATCTTCCCTGTCATGTCCAGTATGTCCACAGAGTGAGACTCTCCATATGTACCTGCCACCAGCTGTGAAGGACTCAGATAGGCCAGGGCGTAGTACGTCTTGCTTGTTTTGATAGTTGACAGCAATACAGGCTCTGGGGTGACATTCACTGTAACTATTTGCTTACTCCGTGGAACACTGACAGCTACCTGACTCTCACTTAACTTTGCTATTCGCAACGGTCTATTAGAAAGCAGTAGCTGATTAACATGCGTGTTTGGTTTTGATGTGTAACATGTTTTGAGGCTGTTGTTATTGTAATCGGCAAATACTGTCACATTTATACCGTCAACAGATAACACTGTGACGTCACACAATAAGGGATCCTCCTTATCCCCGTCCGCCTTACAGTCAATAGTGTGATGTAGAACAGGGGTAGACTGGCGGTCACTCACACCACGGACAACAGCAACCTCCCCCAGCTGTAGCTCATCCACTGCTTTACTCAGCTTGTCCATGTCGTGTGTGAATACAACCCTTCCTTGCGCTGTTCTGTTGTCCATGTCGTTTCTGAATACAACCCTTCCTGGCGCTGGTCTGTTGTCCGTGTCTCTGATGTCTGTATACGCCTCACACACCGACTCATAGACGGCATACATGTCCCTCTCACAGTTGGACGTCACAGCATTGGCTGTGAACTCATACTGCTGCTGGTACATCTGCAGCTCAATCTCCTGGGATTTTATTTCTGCTTGAATTGCATGTAATTGTTCGTCGGAAGATCGGTCGACTTTATCAAGGAATTGTTTCTCCTTCCTTAAAATCATGTCTACCACTGCCTGTCGTGATTTTCTGATATCATCTTTGATATTTTGCGCATTGGAATTTATTTCTTTAATTTGAGATTTCTTAAAGATAATTTTATTTTCTGAAGTTGTCATTTTGATTTTCAGTTCTTGGTTTTGATTTGACAGGTGTTCTCTCACAAAAGGGGTCAGACTATCTAAAGTATCGACATTGTCACATTTCCTGTGTTTTATACTGCAGCATGAATGACAAATGGCCATCCTACAATCTTTACAGAACAACTCTATCTGTTTGTCTTTGTGGGTTTTACACATGAAGCGATGCTTAGCTTTTCTCTTGGTAGCATCAGACGCATTCACAATTTCATGGTCACGTAGCATTGGCATCATGTTGTGCATCTTCAGACATCCATCACAGAAGGCATCGTCACAGACGGAACACCACGATAAGGCAGGAGTTGTCTTCCCTTGTTGTTTGCAAACACTGCAGATATTCAGATGGGCAGCTGTAATGACAAATATCAACCTGTCTTTCTGGATAAAGGTATACATACATCATTATAGTGAAATATCTTGACAATATTTTCACAATTTGTATATTATAAGCATATGATAGGATCTGTTGACACAGGCTCCATGGTTGAAATTTATGACAAATGTATCTGAAAACAAAATCAATCAAAATGTCCAAAATATATCTGGGATAATGTTTTGAATTTACAGGAGAGCAATTAGATGATAAAAAAACCAATACTGCTGTTTTGAAGAAAAAAATCACATCTGATTACACATTCATGGAGTTTATCAATTCATTATTTCTACATATATTACTACCAAATACAATTCCATTTCACAATTAGATTAAACCTAATACATCCCTCTATAAATGTTTGGTTGTACTAAGTGAACTTAAACTATCAATTAGTTACCTTCTGCCCCGGGTCCAAAGTCGTCCATCAGCCCCTGGATAACGTGGCTTGGTTTCAGCTGACCGACCCACTCTTCTACTGGACTGTCAGGGTTGGTCACCTTCGTCGGTTGTCTACATGAGGGACATGGGATGCACTTTGCTTGTATTGCATCAGGCTGGGTGTTGGTGTATTTTAGCAGACAGGACTTACAGAATGTGTGATTACATTCAAGTGTGGCAGGGTCTGTGAACACCTCTGTACAGATGACACAGGTGAGGTGGTTGTCTGTTAGTTTCTTAGCGGTCGCCATCTGAAGTAAAACATATGGCTGAAAAAATATTGATGCACATGTAGCTACAAAGGATATCGTCTGAAACAAACAACACTGAATTGCCTTAATAAAACTTGTCAATGAATGTATCAACCCTGACATCCAATGACGTAACATCCTTATACGACAGGTGCAGTTAGAGTTAATATTATCTTCAACAGAAAACACCTCGCCACACGTCAAACTGTGGTACCTGCTTCAGTGCAGCTGTGGGTAAAGGGGGATAACTCTTGTAACTTTAGTTCCATACATTCATCTGACACACAATGTACATGCACACATCATTGAGTGGAGAGACTGGAAATTAATTATAAATGAAAAACACGTATGTGGTGAAGTGATGCCAGGATAGGTACATAAATATTGCTTTTAAAAACAATGATCTTAACTATAATGTGTGTTGCTGGAAAATATGTGATTGAATTTAAACCGAACTAGAACAATAAAGTCGTTTCCATTATGGTTTTATTTCAATTTGCATAAGGTTCTGGTGTAAAAACATTTAAGCCCCTGTGTCAAGTTCTTATATTAATATGAGTAACATGTGTCGCTAGTGAGGTGTACGGGATTTTTCAAGCTGAAACGGCTTGTACACCACGCCATTTCTGGTGTCCCCCGCCGTGATATTGCTGGAATATTGCTAAAAGCGGCGTAAAACCAACTCACTCACTCACTCACTTGTACACCACGAGACCAAAGGACGCAGTTTATGTATTAATTTACCTTCTATTTGAAAATAACCGGCACTTTGCAATTGTAAAGTTTATATGTTTGCGACTGTGTCATAAGACAGCTCACATATACTCACTCACTGACTTACTAATCGTGTACGTACCTGTATATAAATATATGAAGTAAAACATAATCGGAACATGAAACTGACGATGTCTTCTTTCTATTAAATCACAAAAAACATCTCCCGCCACCCCGAACACTCCCCCCCAAACACCCAGCCACACACACACACACACATCCGACCCCACCCCACCCAGCCATACACACACACATACACTGTCCACCACCCCAACCTCCCACACACATCCACACACAGACAGACAGACAGACACACACACACACACACACACAGCTATACCAATACACAAACACACATCAACACACAATACGCCCACACAACCACACACCCACGCACACGCACGCGCGCGCACCCAACCACCCCCCCAACCCCCCTCCCCCCCTTTTCTCTTCCCCCCCCCCCCCCACACACACACACACAAAACAAAACAAAACAAAACAAAACACATCTTCATCAACATCCCCACACACACTCACCCCACCCCACTACAGCCACGGCACAGGCCATGCAACTGCAGCCGACGTAAGTGGATGTCGCTGTTTGTTTAAAAGGACATACTCCTGGCGAAAACTTGTATATCCCCCTGTAGCCTTGGTCGACTGTCGCAGTCTGTCTGCATACCTCAAAGTTGGCAACAATAACACTTTGTGGAAAAGCACCGCGAGTGGGTAGCCGCTTTCAGCGATGCGATTTCAGATGACATTATGCAGAAATATACAGATGTCATCCTCTTTGGATACGTTGGGATATGTTGATACAAGTCTACTTTCTGTATCAAAGTGAAACATTTGCCGTTGCATGTACACATACTAACATAGGTAAAACACAACAAAACCCTTTCCATAATCAACGGAAACATCATCCAAAATCACAACAAAATCCACTTGTGTAAATGCTGTGAAGATTGATCTGTTAGGATATATATAAATGTCAAAATTACCTTAAGTGTCTTTTATGATATGTGTTTTAGTTAGTTTTGTTATTTAAGGCAGGCTGAACCTTCTATTATCTTCATAATGTTCTATGATACCGAAAATCAGTGTCTACAAGTCAAGTTTAAGTTGGAACTCCATTCCCGGGAAAGTTTAGATACCGAGAGGATGTAACCCAACACCTACTTGCCTTAATACAACATGTAAATGAATGTATCAACCCCGACTTCCAATGACATAACATCTAATACGACAGGTGCAGTTAGAGTTAATATTATGTTCAACAGAAAACACCTCGCCACATGTCAAACTGGGGTACCTGCTTCAGTGCAGCTGTGGGTAAAGGGGGATAGCTCTTGTAACTTTAGTTCCATACATTCATCTGACACACAATGTACATGCACACATCATTGAGTGGAGAGACTGGAAATTTAATTATAAATGAAAAACACGTATTTGGTGAAGTGATGCCAGGATAGGTACATACATATTGCTTTTAAGCAATGAGCTGAACCATAAAGTGTGAACATAGAAAATACATGTGAATTTGTTTAAACCCAACTGGATGAAGAAAGTCGTTTCCATAATGGTTTTATTTCAATTTGCATAAGGTTCTGGTGTAGAAACATTTAAACCCCTGTATCAAGTTCTATACTAATATGAGTAACATGTGTCACTAGTGAAGTGTACGGGATTTTAGAAGTTGAAACGGCTTGTACACCACAAGACCAAAGGACGTAGTTTCAATTTCAAAATAGCCGGCACCTTGTGAAGTTTTGCATATACGTCAATGTTGCTCACTGACTGACTGACTGACTGACTGACTGACTGACTGACTGACTGACTGACTCACTCACTCACTCACTGACTCACTCACCCACCCTTCCACCAACTCACTCACTGCCTCACTCACTCACTGCCTCACTTACTCATTGGGATGTCACGGATCTCTGTTCAGGAAACAGTACTCAGGTTAATGTGATGAATAATAATAAAATAACACGTGTCTGTTTTGCAAGATTTGGTTCACCTTGTTATTGTCTACTTCTAACAAAACATTCAGCAGTCTCAGGGCTGTATGAAAACATTTTTGCTAGGTCCACCTTTCACTGAAATCCGTTAATCGTGTCACTTCCGTATAACTTTATATGTATATGAAATATTATCACAAACAGTTTCATGATGGTAATATTGGATATCCATCCCACCATCATCGATAACTGTTAAATGGCGGCAGTAGCTAAAAAAGCATTGAATGTTACGCGCCAAACGTGTGCGTACATGCATGCACATTAAAACATAATCGGAACATGAAACTGACGAAGTCGACCTTTCTATTAAGTCACACACACACGCACGCACGCACGCACGCACGCACGCACGCACGCACGCACGCACGCACGCACGCACGCACACACACGTACGCACGCACATACGCAGGCAGGGAAGCACAAACGCACTAACATCCCCATTCTCTCCCCTCCCTACGGCCCAGGCCATGCAGCTGCATTCCATTCAAGTGGATATCGCGGGTTGTTTAAAGGGACATAACCCTTGTGATTACTTGTATATCGTCACGTAGCCTTGATCGACTGACCCAGTCTGTCTGTGTTGATTACAATAACACTTTGTGGAAAGGCACCATGAGTGGGTAGCCACTTTCAGCGATGCGATATCAGATGACATTATACAGAAATATACAGATGTCATACTCTTTGGATACGTTGGGATATGTTGATACAAGTCTACTTTCTGTATCAAATTAAAACCTCTGTCTTTGCATGTACACATACTAACATAGGTAAAACACGACAAAACCCTTTCCATAATCATAAGAAATCTCAGCTAAGATCACAACAAGTTACTGTTTGAAAATGTAATCTGAATGCCTGACTTACCACAATGACTACACCGCTGTGACTCGACTGTCTGCCCTCGTCTCACTTCCTGGCTGCTTTCCTTTTGTGTGTCACGTGACGTGGCTTCGTTCACGTGACGTGGCTTCGTTCACGTGATTTCTTGAAGCAGGTATATATATATATATATATATATATATAAACTTTATGATTTCATTATTTTATTATATATATATATATATATATATATATATATATATATATATATATATATATATATATAAATAGTACGTTATTAGTTCATATCAATGTGTGCCATTCAGGTCTAATATGAAGGAAAATATGTCTGAAATATCACACTTATTCTATACTATTCTATACTCATTCTTGAGGCGATATGTGAAAGCTGTATATCCCCTGTTTTAAAATTATCACATTAACGCCTCACACATGTCAAATATGTGTATTTCTTGAATATGCACTATCGGTCACGTGGCCTTGAAAGCAAATAAATTTGACTTGACTTGACTAAATGGCATGTTTTCAGTCACTGTAGTTCATGTTATTGACGGGATGCCGACTCCGTGTCATCGGGTTGATCTGTAAAATTTAATAAATAATAGCCAACGATACCAAAAATCAGTGTCTACAAAACAAGTTTAGGTTACGACATTCCAGGGAAAGCTTAATGTTAGAGTACGTTTGTGAGAGGACATAATGCTGTTTTGACGATAGAATTTACAAATGACATGTGATAAAATGGTCAATACGTTTATACTATGTATAAGGCTCGCAAAAGTCCAAATTCAATAGCTACAGACAACCTATGGTTAGCTGTACATTGAAAACAAATCTTGTGTTTTTGTGATTTCAGTTTGTAGATACAAATGATAAAAACTTGTATAGCGTTTATATTTTGGTTTGATATCATGACCTTTCTGGACAGATTTATGTTGGAGACCCGAAGGGAGGCGTCAAAGAAATTGTTTCTTTCAAAACACATTTGTTTTAAGCGATTACAACTTTCCTTTTCCCATACAGAATATCAGATCCCCTAAACTGAAGGAGAGAAGTCAAACAATTTGGGTTTGGGAAAAAAATTCTTTTACCAATTATGACTTATTCACATGATCACCCCATCCAACCAATGAATATCAAATAGTCGACCCCTTAGGCCGGGACAGGTTTTATTGGCCGTGGTTTCGAATCCGATTATCTGTAGTCATTATAACCATACTTGTTGGGGTCCCTGAAGCGGTAAACATCCTCGACCTGCGTCACCTTTTTTCTACATTAAGCTGACATGCTCAGATATGATTGAAAAGTTCTTTAAAAATCGAAACACAGCTATATATTTATCAGTCGGAATATAATAGATACCCTGTGGAGAACGGAAGGATGATGGTTCGGACTCGAAGTGGTTCGCTGTAAGGATTTGTACAATTGTAAGTAGCAACATACACACATGTGGGTGCACGTCGCAAAATAAGTGAAATAATCTCGAACGAGATGATAAACCTCATTTCATCTGAATCATATATGTTAGTTGTTGTTAATGTTGGCAATTTTTTCACAGGTCACAACGTCAGGTGACACCGGCTTTTCGCACAAGATAACATACCTTATTACAAAACAAATGTATTCTACTCCAACCACGTGGTTGATTATGACAATCGGGACAGTATACAGTGTACAGTATACTGAACAATGTAAATATGTATAATATACTGTTATACAAAGTCAGAGGTGTCGGAGTTGTCGATCTCATCCGAGAACAACTGAATGACCTAAGACCTTAATGTTTGATCCCTTATTAACGGATCAGTCTGTAGTGACTGTCCTATCTTATGAAACATTAATCACGTCATGCACTGTGAACTACAATGCGATTAGGATAACGTGTACAGAAAGAGTTACCTACCTTAGACTAGAGCCGTCGCATGGCTCATTCGGATCAGATAACTATATATAATAAAATAATGCACGAATTGATGCTTTCATCATTACACTAAATTATATTTTTATGTTTCACAAAGACGGAATTCGTGTATTCTCTGTTGTATTTCTTGGGTTATTTACAGATAAAGTTTTTTTTCATAGTAATGCCTTAACCCTGAACCTGTTAGCATGTCTTGATATGTGTATGAGTTGTCTTAATATTTCTATGTGCTGTCTTTAACATTTGTATATGTTGTCTATATATTTTCATGCATCGTCTTGTTATGTGTAAGGGTTGTCCTTATATTTCTATGCGTTGTCTCAATATATTTGTATGTGATGTCTTAATACTTGTATGTGTGGTCTTAATATACTCTTTAAAAAAAGAAACGCAAAGCCAGATTTGTGAGAGGTAGGAAAATACATTTATACGAACAACCGTACAAGGTATTGAGCCAAAATGTTGTGGAGAGAACACTTGGTGGTTGTTGTCACCTCAGTAATCGGTACATAGGAAAAGTCCAAGTCGAAGGTCATTTACTATCAATAACGCGTATGTCACCCGTTGGAATCGATAGCGGCCTGACATCTCCTGTCTATGGAAGAGTCAAGCATACGAATCACTTCCTGGGGAATGGTAGCCCACTCGGCAAAAGCCAACTGCTGCAACGTCTTTGGTTGTGGTTGACGTCGGCGTAGCCGTCTAATCCAATTTATCCCACAGGTGTTCTATCGGGTTCAAATCCGGAGATTTGGAGGCCAGGGGAGAACATCAACGTTGTTGTGTAGACAGGCTGTTGTGATCCGTGTCGTATGCGGTCGAGCGTTGTCCTGCTGGAATACACCATTATGGTTGGCTGCAATTTGGAGGACGCGTGGTGGGAGAATTTTGTTGATGTATTAATGAGCCGTAAGATTGCCCCGGATATGGACCAAACATGTCTTACCATGATGAGAGATAGCCACCAACATCACAACGCTACCCCCACCAAACCTGTCCACTTCCTGCACTCAGTTTCCGGCGTAACGTTCTCCCCGACGTCGGTAGGTGCTCTTCCATCCCCACTATGGAGGCGAAATCTTGATTCGTCGCTGAACCAGACATGTCTCTATTGCAGTTGAGACCATAACCTGTGTTGACACCAATGCATTCGTTGTTGACGATGTTGTCGACTCAAAATGATGCATTGAAAAAGACGTCTTAGTCGTAGACCTGCTGTTCTCAAACGGTTCCGTACGGTCTGGACGGAGATTCTGCGCAGTCCTGGTATTTGGGATGCGGTTGAGGTGGCTGTGGTCGTCCTTTCACGTAGGTGGCGCAATCGGATGTAGCGACCTTGGGCGAGGGTGGTTACTCTTGGTTGTCCCGACCTTCGGCGATCACGTGTTGACCCATGCTGTTGAAACTGATCCCATAGCCTTTTGATGGTACTGGGCACTACATTGAAACCCCTGGCTACAGCTGATCGGGATCCCCCTACTAGTAAGTGGGCTATGACGTTGTTTTTTGCACTTCTGTTAATCTTGCCATGTTGTTAAACTGTCACTGTTCTATTGACGCAGATGCCAGGCGATCCGAAATCCTGCACTTTAATACCGTTCATAGTACTGCTACACGTGCAGTGCGTGCAGCTCCATGGCCCTTTTGTTAATTCACTGGTTGCGTTTTCCCGACTAACGGTTTGCATGTCCTTGTGATAATTTGATCCGGGAAATTTGTTACTGACACTATAACCCATTAAACCTCTTCATTTTGCACCTCTTGGTCCGCGAATTTAGCTTTTATGACCAAAAATATCCGTTTTGCGTTTCTTTTTTTATTGAGTATATTTGTTTGTGTTGTTATGATATATACTGAACCGCAAAGCATCAGGTTTATATTAAAGTGCCAAAGTGAAACACAACACTAGTCTCTGAGAAAATGGCATCACATGTCAGTATCTCGTGTGTCCGCCATGTGCATTAATGACTGCCGTGCAACGCAGATACATGGAATGGATGAGGCGGTTGATGAAGGCCATAGGCACTTGCGCCCACACTCTGAGGAACGCCTGATGCAGTTCAGCTGCAGTTGTCGGCCTTGGTCGGACATCATTCAGCCATCTTTGAATCTCGTCCCAAGGGTGCTCAATGGGATTTAAATCGGGACTGAGGGCAGGCCACTGCATGATTCTGATGCCAGTCTGCTGATGGAAGTCTCTTGTTGCTCTCGCAGTGTGAACACGGGCTTCATCATGCCGAAACTCGTAGTTGTGGCGACGTGCAAAATGAGTTATGGCGTGTGGTCTCAAGATTTGATCAATGCGCCGAGCTGCAGTAACACCATTGCCTCTCCCTGGTCCAATGTTCTGGAATACCACAGGGCCGACCCTCTGTGCTTGACCAATTCCACTCCACACCATGATGCTCGGACCACCACAAGACTCTCTCTCAACAACACAAGAATCCAAATAAGGTTCCCCACGTCGTCGCCAGACTCTCCCTCTGCCATCTGCTGTTGAGATACAGAAACGGCTCTCGTCTGAGAAGAGGACTCTTCTCCACTGCTGGTGGCGCCAATGCTGGTGCTGTGTTGTCCACTGAAGACGGTCCCGGCGGTGACGTGGTGTCAGAATGGGTCCTTGGTTTGGCCTGTGACACTGGAGGTGCCTGCTCGCCAATCATCAACGCACGGTGTCCGCACTAATGTGTCGCTGGTGTGTCCCCGTGGTCTGTCGAGCAGTTTCCGCATCAGTAACAACGCGATCTTGAAGTCTGTCTGTGTAGCTCCATGTTATTTAATGCTGATGACACTTATGCTTTGAAGAAAGGCACCGAGAGCCTTTATCAACAATAATATTTCAGGGGCTAACTGACATATTTATACAGAAATTTACAGATCCTATTTGGATACGTTGGGATATGTTGACACCAAGTCTACTTTCTGTATCAAAGTGTAATCTCCGTCCTTGCATGTACACATAAAACACGACAAAACCCATATTTATACAGAAATTTACAGATCCTATTTGGATACGTTGGGATATGTTGACACCAAGTCTACTTTCTGTATCAAAGTGTAATCTCCGTCCGTGCATGTACACATAAAACACGACAAAACCCTTTCCATAATTATAAGAAATCTCAGTTAAGATCACAACCAGTTACTGTTACAAAATGTTATCTAAATGGGTGACTTACCACAATAAATACACCGCTGTGACTCCACTGTCTGCCCTCGTTTCA